TAAAGGTAGTAAGATGTAATGAGATGGTAAATGAGAATGTGTTAGAAAAAAATACAGCTCATTAAGGTCAAGGGAAGCTACCAGCTGCTCTGGCCCAAGCTTCCTAATAAAGCAAACCCAGGTTGAGATCAGCTGGGCTCTGCAAGCTTAGAGCTGCTCTTGGAAGTCCAACTTTGGGTCTAGCTGCAAGTACACAGTGGGAGTAGGAGGAAATCTCCATTCATTCCAATATTTTATTTATTTATTTTTTCTTAAAAAAATTTTTTTTCAACATTTATTCATTTTTGAAAGGCAGAGAGAGACAGAGCACGAATGGGGGAGGGGCAGAGAGAGAGGGAGACACAGAAACAGAAGCAGGCTCCAGGCTCCAAGCTATCAGCACAGAGCCCAACGCGGGGCTCGAACTCACGGACCGCGAGATCATGACCTGAGCTGAAGTCGGCCATTTAACCGACTGAGCCACCCAGGCGCCCCATTCCAATATTTTAAAAGTACCTACTGTGTGTCAGGCATTGTTCTACACACTGGAGACAGTCCAGAACAAGACAGATGGGACTTCATTCTTCTCCCCTTTCCCCCCTCCATGTTACACATATACAGAGACAGAGTCCTGAGTAATTTTTTAACACCATAAAGCTCACTTTCATAGCAATTACCTAGACCCCAAGTGTCCCAGCACCTTCTTGCCCTTGGGATATTTGTGACTATGTCCTCTACAAAGTAGATAAAGTGGTAACTTCTGACTCAGAGTTAGGGGATGTGGACCTCTTGCAGTCCTGCTGATAACTTGCTAAGTATGTGATTGTGACCAAAATAGTCATTTTAGTTCTCTTGGTCTCAGAGACCTCTTCTGTGAAAGGAGAAGACTTAGTTAAATAGCAGTGGTTTTCAAACATTTTAGCTGTGGCTTCTTTCTTGAAGTAAAATCTTACACAGAATTCCACTCATCAGTCTTTCCTCATCTCCCATGGCAGTTTCTGAGACCCTTACAGAGCTCCTAAAGTTTTAGAAGGTTGACCTCTGTAAACCACTAAAAGACCTGCAGGTCCCTCCTGTTCTAAGATCTGTTGTTCTAAAAGAAAGGCACTATAAACAACAGAAAAACAAGAAAGAGTCCATTATCTTAAAGGAGCTAAAATCTAGTAGAAGAGATGTGCTACAAGAATCAATCAATTTGGCTTATGGAGCAGCTTCTATGTGCATTGGACCATGCTAGGTGTGCTGTAAATACTTTCTACTTCTCTTCAAATGGAAGGTTTTGGCTCATGGCTTTCTGGTGTCTTCTTCACCCCAAGTCCTGCAATCATCCTGGAAGATTCCAAGGTCCATACAGATCACCCACCAATGCCTTGGCATCTCACTTCCTCAGTCTCCTTATCTCCAGTTATCTTCTCATATCTCCCTCTTTGCCAGCTACTTGCATAACCACACTGAGTTGTATCATCAGCAAATGCTTCACTTCCAAAATAACTAAAATTAGATATCCAGATTTCAGCTGTTTCTTTTTACATAATTTTTACATAAGTACCTTCAATTACTTTTCCCTTTTTCTATCAGCTCCCTTTACCTGCTTCTTTATCCAACGTAGAGCCTACTGTTCATTATTTTAATCACTGCCTAAATAAAATGTTCAACTTTCGTCCCCCATTGTCCTTCCACTGCATTCGTGTGGCAAAACCTTGGTCCTGGACGAATCCAACTGTCTTCTCATGCCTATACTAAATGTTGCCCCACAGATCACATATTCTCAAAGACAGATGCCATACAAAGTCACAGTCTCTAGCTTAACTGGGTCCTCAACACTACCTGCCCTCCCTAGTCAGCTTCCCTTTCCACTCACCATAGTGATTATTTCAAACTTTTTTCACTATGTTATAAACTCTTATATTTCTATTCCTCTTTCAGCACATGACTTTCTTTCCTACTTCGCAGAAGACACAAATCGTCACACAATCCTTTGGTTTCAAGTTAAAAACTCACTTGGATCTCTGTCCATTCTCCCTTTCTTCCTCCTGTTACAGCGGACCAGGTGGCTGACTTCCTAAGGCTAGCCCCTCTCTGGTATGCAGAATCCTAAACCTGTCCATTTAGGGACTCTTTCTGATCAGCATTTAAACATACACAAATTTTTTCTCACTTCAGTTCCATATTCCCTTCTCCCTTTCACAACCAAACTTTTTGGAAAGCAGCTACACTCACCAGTTGTACTTCCTCAAATTCCACTCACTCCTCAGTTCACTCCCATTCACCATCCCATGAGATGGGATCTAGGAAGCCATTTGTTTTTTGCCCTTCCTTGGAGCTACTCTTACTAAAGTCTTCAACCACATTCTTAATCTGATTCAGTAATCACTCTTTATTCTTTATTTCTTGGCAGTACATGGCACTATTTGCTATTCCTTTCTTCTTGAAACACTCTTTAATCTGGCTTCTGTAACACATACTCTCCTGACTTTCCTTCTACCTCTCTGGCTGTTTTGTCTCAGTTACTTCTGAGGGTAATTCTTTTTGTCTCTTATAAAGAGGCTTTTCTTTGGTTTCTGCCTTCAGGTACTTTCATCAGACAACAACCAGGGCCATCTCATCCATCATATGACTTCTGCTTATGTCCACTTATAGATGATTCTCAAATTTATCTCCAGCCCAGTCTTCATTTGCTCTTGGCATGGCTGCTCCAGAGACACTTCAAAGTCAGTGTTTCAAAAGCTGAACTCCTTCCCCTCCTCCCTCTAAACTGTGTTCCCAAACTCAGAGGATGACACCATCAAACCAGAACCTTGAAAGTCTTCTTTAAACTCTGCCCACACTCTTGACTTCCATGCCTTCTTCCTCATTTCCTATACTCATTAATCCTGAAGTCCTGTTGAGTCTACCTCTTCTCAATTCCCTTTACTTTTCTCTTCCTCACAAATACCACCATCTCTCAGCTAGATTATAGCAACAGTCTCCTAACTGGTCTCACTGCCTTTGTTCCTGTACAATAATCTATTTCCCATACAATTGGCAGAGTGATTTTTCTAAAGCACAAATCTTCTTAGTCTCTTTTATGTTACTAAACCCTGTGGTAGTTTTCTGTTGTCCAAACTTCTTCATGCAGACACTCATGTTCCCTCATGATCAGGTCCCTGCCTACTTCTTCACTCTCACGGTCTCCTTCCCCAGTTCCTCTCTTCAAGCTCTATGCTGTAGCAGCACTGAGGTCATTGAGTTCCTCAAACAAATCATGCCTTCTCTTGTACATGTCATATCCCCCTTGAAAATTAATCCCCCATCTTTTTGCTTGGCTCTCGGTTACCCATACTTCAGGACTCGGTTTGTTATTTCCTTTAAGAATATTTTCTGGTTTATTAGCCAGGGCCAGGGCACCTCCTTTGTGCTTCCATAGTATCCAACACTATCTTCCCCCAGCAGGCTATTTGGACCATAAGGGTAGGAATTGTGTCTTATTTTGTATCCTCAGTGTCTTCCTATAGTACCTGGCACATGGTAGATAGGCAATTTTACTGTTGATTGTGATTGTGTAATGGATCTGAGATATGTGGAGGCTGTGAAGTGGGACAGAGGAGATAAGCAAGGAAACATTATGAGGAGAGAGGGAAGCATAGGGCAGATATGTAGACATCTCACAGTCTTGGTGCTGGGAAGTAATTTAGACCAAGTCATGGAAACCGGTGGGAGCAAGGAGCTCTTTATAGAGAAGTCCAGTATCTTTATCATGGCAAGGTTCCCCACCTCCAAATGAATTAAGGCCATAGCCTTGTTCTGTGGGGCAAGTATCCCTACCAATTACCCCAAGTCAGGTGGGTGGATTTTTGTCAGCTTTGATAACTAATGTCAGCTTCTTCTCTGAAGAGTGTTCAAATTGGACACTTCATCTCCACTGCTGCCTACTCAATCTAGGCCACTGTCTCTTCATCTGTAGCTCATATCTGGATTAATTGGTCCATTTTTCTTCTTTAATTTATCTCTTATAGAGATTCTAGAATAATCTCCCTCAAAAACCCAGTAATATACTTTTCCAGTGCTCAAGAACTAGACTTCCTTTTTCCCCTACAGCAAACCTAAATGCTGTGATCTAGCTTCTTGGCTTTTTGTTCTTGTGACCACTATTACACCTATTCCCCACCACCTCTCCAATATGCTTTTCCCACTTGTGCAACTAGGTTTCATGGTTGTGAATCTTGGACTCAAAGCACACTCTAAAGTTAAAAGCAACTTTTAGGAGGGCATACAATTCAGAGGTCCAAAACTAGCAAAAAAACCTCCTTGTATGTTAAAACATTTTGAAAGATATAAATGTGGCCATACCTAGACCATATTTTCCTAGTTCATTGATGATGTATCCTTTAGTATATAATATATAAGTCAAATTGCCATCTTTCATTCCCTTTTGATGATCTAGTTCTAGGCTTTTGCCTGGACAGAATTCGATTGCATCTATTATCGTGCCAAGGCAGAGTAATACATTTGCCCAAAGTCTAACAAGTTTCTGTGAAAAAATACTTTTGGTGAAAAAGTAGAAAGACAAGAGTTAAAGGGCAAGATTAACAAGAGAGAAAAGAAGAATGAAAAAGAAAGAAAAGGGTTATCAAAATTATCAGATACAATGTTAAATAAAAACAGCAAAAATCTCTCAGCTTTTTTGATATTTATAGTCCAATTATGTAAAAAAAAAAAATCCCACATATATGTATGTTTATAGAGAGAAGAAAGAAAAATTAGGACATTAACATATCCCCCTGGTGACATTATGGGCTATTAACATCTCCTTTCACTTTTCCATGCTTTCCAAATTTTCTACAAGAAGCATAAAATTATTTTAAAAAGCAGGAAAAGATTTAAAAATTTAATAATATATTAAAAGACAAACTTCTTGGGGAATGCTTGCTTATAACTCATTTTTCCACTCACATCATTTGGCAACAAATATCAAATTCTTATGATGATTAAGCCAAATGTACCCCCAAATAATTAATGTGATATGGATTTTCTCAATTTACCAGAGTTCCTTTTCCTCTTCCTTTGGGCTTTGAATCTCTACTTCCAAAATTGGTTCTTTAGACACAAGATCTTTACAGATATTTTCACCTGTAATTAAATTAGTAGCTGCAGTTTTTCTCTCTACAGTAAAATGATTTAATTGTTCAAATTCTTGTGAAAGCTTCAAGACCTATAAAGTTAAAGTGAAAAGACAAATATTCTATTTTGCATACTCTTACAGATAATTATGAAAAAAAGTACATTTAGTCATTTAGTCCATTAAATGCTTAAATAATTATTGACAAGTAATATAAATTAACATCTAATTGAAGGATCTTCTTCTAGTTTAACTTAACACTTTGCAGTTGTTATATAATTAATCCATTTTTACCATAGGCATAAGCATGCATAAATCCATGGTTTTAAAGAAGGGTATTTTTGGAGAGAGGGAGAGAGAGAAAGATAAAGCAAATGTAGTACCAACCATGTTAACGTTGGAGAGGTGAGGGTACATGGGCATTCTTTTTGCTATTTTTGCAACTTTTCTATAAGTTTGAAGTTATTTCAAAATAAAAAGTTTTATAAGTGAGACAGAGCCAGATTAGCAGGATAGTGATACGGCTCTCTCATTTTTATATTATATTCTTATTCCCTACATTTATCTTCTGTGTTAAACTATCCAATGATATTTCATAAGACAAGATCCTTTAACTGCACAGTGTGAGGGTAACTCACTTTGCTGACAAGATCCCACAAACAAAGCTTAGTTATAGGCTATGCCCCATAATCTACCTTCCCAGACAGCAAACCCCATGTTCTGAACCTTTCCCTCCCTAAGTCACATACTATTTGATCCATATCCCAATCTCTCAGCAACTTGTACCCTGCTTTCAGGATAAAATCTTCACATTAATGAGGCCTGGACTTAGTCCTCCATTTCACATGTACTAAAATATAACCCAATATCTTTTAACTGTGTGTTCAAGCCTTCACTTCTTTCTGCCATTTTAATCAAGACCCAGAGAGTAACTGAGGAAGGGAATTTTCAGCCCAGAGTTGTTAATAATAGGTGGGACTCCAGAAATTACACTATAGGCAACGTCCAATGTTGACTAACCCTGGTCTGGCAGCCATTTTTACACTTGGGGAACAAAGTGGGGTCAGGACATTTAAATATTTTTCTAATTCTAAGTATAAGCCTAATTTTCAGTATAACTGAAAAAAAAAATGCTTTGATTCAAAGATTTAAGGTTGAAGACACTTAAGTAAACTTGTTTGTTTTGAGTACTGGGGGGGTGGTGGTAAAATAGACCTAACATAAAGTTTACCATCTTAACCAGTTTAAGTGTGTGGTTCCATGGTATTAAATATATTCACACGGTTGTGCAGCCACTGCCACCATCCATCCCCCGAACTCATTTCATCTTGTAAAACAAACCCAATACCTATTATACAATTACACCCTTTTCTTGTCTACCCCAGTCCCTGGGCAACCACCATTACACTTTCTGTCTTTATGATTTTGACTACTCTGAGTACCTCATATAATTGAAATCATACAGTGTTTGTGTTTTTGTGATTGGTTTATTTCACTTAGCATAAAGTCTTCAAGATTCATCCATGTTGTAGCATATTGCAGAATCTCCTTCCTTTTTAAGGCTCAATGACTTTCCATTGTGTGTATATACCACAATTTGCTTATCTATTCATCCATCAAGAAACACTCGGGATACTTCTAAGCTTTAACTATTGTGAATAATGCTGCTGTGAAAATGGGTGTGCAAATATCTCTTCAAGACCGCTTTCAATTCTTTTGGGTATATCTCTCTAGATAGCGGAATTGCTGGATCATTTGGTGGTTGTATTTTTGAGCAAACCTTTTACATTATAATATGTGCTCCAAAATTTAAGCTTTTGGGAAACTGACTCAAAGTAAAAAAAAAAAAAAAAAAAAAAAAAAAATTCACAGATTAATTCTAAGAGTGAAAGACTGAAGTCTATTCTGAGTCATAGCTTGGCTTATAGCCTACACTATATGGGAATTTATTCTATAATAATAAAAGAAACTCCAATTTACATGTAATCTCTTACTGAAAATTAATTTCCTTTTATTGTATCCTCATAAGAGATAAAGGCAAACACTGAACATTTAAATAATTAATTCAGTCTCACCTTTGTTTCTAATTCAGAATTCTCTCTTTGTAGCAGGTCATATGTTATTAAATAATTGTCTCTGTATTCTGCTGCCCTTGGAAGACTTTGAATTTCATTATAAAGGCATATAAGTTCTGACCTTGATTTTTGCAACTCCTGATTAAGAAATAAAGACATTTAGTAAAATGAGATTTTCCCCATAAAAGGTATAATATTTCTAAAATGGAATCTTTGAAACAACTGTCACAATTTTTTTTTTTTTTTTGCTTTTTTTCCCCCCCCAACTTATTCTTCTAGCAGAACTACTTTTAAGAAAGTAGTTAAGGTAGTTAAGTAGTAAAGTTTACTTAAGTCAATTAATGAAACTGAGCATTCTTAGCTTCTATCACTCACAGGTGGAAGGACTGGGTTTCTAGAGTTCTTCCTACTTTTTGCAAGGCCTGTAGAGAGGGTACATTCTTCAGCAACTCCTGCACTAATTATATTTTCTTTCTTAAAGTGTATCTTTTTTCAAATGTACCTTTTACAGAATAACTAGCCTTTAATCTTGTGACAACCTCATGCAGAAGGGCTACTGAAACAGGCTCAGAGAGTGTAAGTGGCCTGCCCAAGTTCACATAGCCAGGAAGTGGTAAAGCTGAGATTCAACCATCTGACCAATTTCAAACTCTGTGTTCTTCACAACAAATTATGCTGCCTTAGTTAATAATGTGTATTCGGTGACTTAATTAACTAGGGCTTCCTCTAATCCTCTGATTTCTTCCCCCTATATCTGTGAGAGAAAACCCTTTAGTTATATGTAGAGTCTTATCAAATTTCTACATTGATGACATGGAAGATGTAGTTTGGCTGGTGGATGACTGGGGCCTGAGAGTTAGTCTGTGGTGTCCTGTGAAGGAAACAGATGATATTAAATTTACTTTAGGAAAGGAGTTACATGGTATTTTCCCAAAGCCTTCAAATCAGAAGGAGAAGAGAATGTTGATGAGGAAAGTGTTGGGCAAAAAGGAGAGAGAACAGAGAGTGGCCACAGGAAGAAGGCAAGTGGTATCAGTTTCCTACCTCATTGTATTGGAAATTCCTGTAGGTCATCAGGATGGGATTTGGGGCATTGCACTGGCTGTCACCCACCCTGCAAACTGATTAAATGTCACCATCCTCTAAATTGGTGATCTAGACTTCCATGGACTCACTTCCAGGTCTCTCTTTTAAGTATAGGCTGGTTGTCTCCTGATAGACCTTTCCAAGATGGTAGGACAAGCAGTTAAAAGGAGAGACAAGTCCATGACTCTATGGCCACCCTAATAATCAAACCACCTACTACTTAAAGGTCTCTTTTTGGCTAGTGCTGGAGCTGGAACTCAGCGTGAGGGAACAACAGTCACCCCATTATTACTAACAGAAACACATATTCTAGAGCTACTATTTATTTTAAAATCAAAATAAATGGTAACATGAAATCCCTAAATTAGGAATGCAAAAAGAGGAGAATAACATCCTGAGTGGCAGAATACCTCACTATCGACTTTCAAAGCCTTCTGTACAGTATTAAGATCAGATGTCGATTGCTTTCTCCTTTCTCTCTCTTCTGACAACTTACTTTCAAATATGTCAATTTTTTCTTGGCTCATTTTCAAAATCTGCAAAAAAGCATTTTACATAATTATTTCTACACACAATGTTTCCTATAAATTCTAATAATACTAATTTACACCCTAACTAAATTATAAAGTCACCTAAAGGAGATATAAAGCTGGGAAAAATAGTTCATGGTACCATAGTTCATAAGAGACATTTTTCTCTCTGAGTCTGTTTTCTCAACTGTAAAACGGAGCTAATACTTGTCCTACATACATGATGGCCATCAGAGTAGGAATAAAGTGAGGTTTTGAAAGTATTCTGTAAATGTTAAGCACCTACCAAATGCAAAGTATTGTTGAAATCTTTCTAAATTCGTTGGTAATAATAATTGCAATAATAATGAGATCAGCTAATAGTTAGTGCTTAGCATATGTCAGACATTACGGTACATGTTTCACTTGCACAATCTCATTTTATTTTCCCAGAACCCTACACAATTGGAACTACTTTTTTTTTTCTTTTTACAGAGAACAGAGGTGAGGCTCAGATATATTTACTTAAGCTGAAGAAAGGAAAGGGTGGATCAACCAAAGAGTTTTACCTAATTAAATTTTGGACAAAAGTATGCTGGAGCTTTGCTTGTACTTCTGGATTCATAATTTACTGCCAGATATGTATTCATTTGACCTACAGGTTTTTCCAAAATTAATCCATTAGTTTAGTAACGTTGATTATTAATAATTTCCCTTTTTTGTGTTTAATATCAATAAAACAGGAAGAGATGGGTTGGAAAGAATGGAAAAGGAAACTGGAAAAATGGATGCTAAAACCTCGGTGTAACTTTTGCAAATCCTCCTGTCTAAGGGCATAGAAAAAAGACCTGGCTAAGAATGAGGTCGACTTCTTAGCAGCACCATACAAGGATACAGGAAAGGATATCGCCCACCCTCTTCTGCCCTGGTGAATGTTTCTGCACATCCATACCTGACACGCTGAGCATTCAGCACTCAAGGCAAAGCTCTTCTTGGCCCCACCCCTCCACCACCTGAGATGCCTCCGTGCAAAGTGTAGGGAAATGGTTCAACTCCCCTCATTTCCTTTGTGTTTTTTAGCATAAGAATGTCATGTATTTTAATGCCATAACTTTTAAAAGATAGTTTTCAAAAGGATATATATTTGAAATCTCCCATAACTTATGCCATTCTAAAAATAATTATGCACTTAAGCAATTTATGTCCTTCACAGACTTCATGGTGACCAAAGTTTCAAGCAGAAATACACAGGAAAAGGGCAGCAAACAATGTGAGAGATGAGCAGTGGGATGGCGAGGAGCTCTGGGTAGCTGAAGGGAGCCTACCTCATCTGTCAGGCAACAGCAAACAGAGGGAAGCACTGACTGACGTGCTAAGGAACTGCCTAACTGGAACAGGGTAGCTACCAACGGCTCTGGAGAACGGTGTAACAGCTTGGAATTTTCCACTTTCAGTGTTCCACTACCTGAAAGGTGGGGGTCATCTAATGCTCTGAACCAAACTGTGCCTCCTGGGCACAGTATGACAAGTGTTCCTGCCACCCGTGCTGTGTGCTTGCACTGTGCTCTGCCCTTGCACAGGCATAGCCAATGGGGTGGCGGATGTGGGTGCCAGACAGAAAGAAACATGCCAGGTCATCACCTCCAGGTTCATGTGCTCAGTGTTGGGCATGCTGTAACCCCCATCAGTTATAATAAATCCCCTATATAAACTCCTCCATAAATCCTCATAAGAGTTAATATGATGAACAAAATCAGCTGGAAGGCCAGGCAAACCTGGAATAACTCCTAGCTCTGTCTCTTACATTGTTCAAGTTCCTTTAAATTCTCTCAAATATGAAGTGGGACTATCTCTCCTACCTTGGGGAGGGTTGTTATAGGGATTACATGAGACTATGTTTATAAAACATCTAGAACAGAACATGGCATATGAGAGATGCTTGACATATTGTGGCTATTATCATTCTTACCAGATACCTAGCATTTCTTCTCTTTTAAGCATTTTCTCTGAGAATATGCATACTAGCCACATTAAGAGGATCTAATTAATGATAAATCTGTCTGCATATAGAAATTGGTAAGGAATACAGATCATTATGTTGAGGACTTGGTTTAAAGGATTTCTTTTCTAAATTATTTGTTCTTCTTTTAAAATTAAAAAAAATTAATTAAATACTTATTTGTTTTTGGGAAGGAGCACCTGGATGGCTCAGTTGGTTGAGCTTTCAGCTTCAGCTCAGGTCATGATCTTGCAGTTCATGAGTTCGAGCCCTGCATCGGGCTCTGTGCTGACAGCTTGGAGCCTGGAGCCTGCTTCAGATTCTGTTTCTCCCTCTCTCTCTCTGCCCCTCCCCCACCTGTGTGCGCGCTCTTGCGCGCGCGTGCTCTCTCTCTCTCTCTCTTTCTCTCTCTCTCTCAAAAATAAATAAAAACATTTAAAAAAAGAGTACTCTGAACAATTGTACACAATAAATTAGACAACATACATGAAATGGACAAATTCCTAGAAACACAAAACCAACAAAGACTGAATCATAAAGAAACAGAAAATTTGAATAGACCTATAATGAGTAAGGATACTGAGTCAGTAATCAAAAATCTCCGGTACAGAGAAAGGTCTCAGGCCTGATGCCCTCACTGGTAAATTCTACCAAACATTAAAAAAAGAACTAACACCAAGCCTTCTCAAACTTTTCCCAAAACTTGAAAGGGAAGAAACACTTTCTAACTCACCCTGTGAGGTCAGCTTACTCTGCCATGAAAGCCAGACAAAGATACTATAAGGAAGAAAAAACTACAGACCAATATCCTTTATGAGAATTGATGTAAAAATCCTCAAAAAATATTATCAAAATGAATTTAACATCATGTTAGAAGGGATATACACCATAACCAAGTGAGATCTATTCCTGAAACGTAAGTATGGTTCAATATACAGAAATTAATCATTGTGATACACCACATTAAAAGTATGAAGGAACATTGACATGATCATCTAATTGGTGCAGAAAAAGCATTTGACAGGATTCAACACCGTTTCATGATTAAAAAGACATTAAAGAGGGGCGCCTGGATGCCTCAGTTGGTTAAGTGTCTGACTCTTGATTTTCGGTTAGGTCTTGATCTCAGGGTCGTGAGTTCAAGCCCTGCATTGGGCTCCATGCTTGGCATGGATCCTACTTAAAACAACAACAACAACGACAACAGCAAACCACAAAATAAACTAGGAAAAGAAGAAAACTATCTCAACATAATAAAGATTTATAAGAAACCCATGGTGAACATCATATTCAATGGTCAAAGACTGAAAGCTTTCCCTGTAAGATCAGGAACAAACTTTCACCATTTCTATTCAACATAGTATTGGAAATTCTAGCCAGAGCAATTAAGCAAGAGAAAAATAAATAAAAGACGTCCAAACTGGAGAAGAAGAAGCAAAATTATCTCTGTTTGCAGATGATATAATCTTATATGTAGGAAACCTTAAAGATTCCACAGTTAGACTTAATAAATGAATTTAGCCAAGTAGCAAGACACGTAGTCAACACACAAAACTCAGTCACACTTCTACACGGTAACAATGAGCAATCTGAAAAGGAAATTACAAAAACACTTCTATTTATAGTAGCATCAAAAAAATAGTTAGGAATTAATTTAACCAAGGAGGTGAAAGACTTGTACAATAAAAACTAGAAATCATTGCTGAAAAAAATTAAAGAAGAGAAAGTAATGGAAACACATTCCATGTTCATGGATTGGAAGACTTAATATTATTAAGATGTCAATACTATCTAAAGCAATCTGAAGATTCAATGCAGTCTCTATCAGAATCCCAATGACATTTGTTTTTTTTGCAGAAATAGAAAAACCCATCTTAAAATTCATATGGAATTTCAAGGGATGCTGAACAGCTAAAACCATCTTGAAAAAGAAGAACAAAGCTTCAGGACTTATACTTCCTGATTTTAAAATATGCAGGGTGCCTGGGTGGCTCAGTCAGTTAAGGGTCCAACTCTTGATTTCTGCTCAGGTCATGATCTCACAGTTTGTGGGACTGAGCCCCATGATGCTCTGTGCTAGAGCTCTGTGCTGACAGCATGGAGCCTGCTTGGGATTCTCTCTCTCTCTCTCTCTCTCTCACTCTCGCTCTCACTCTCTGCCCCTCCCCCGCTCACATGCGCATGAACATGCACTCTCTCTCTCTCTCACTCAAAATAAACATGTCTTAAAAATTTAGTACAAAGCCAGAGTAGTCAAAACAGTGTGGTACAGGCATAAATACAGACATATAAGCCAATGGAATAGAATACAGAGCCCCAAAATAAACCTGCATGTATATGGTCAAATGATTTTTTTTAAATGTTTATTTAGTTTTGACAGAGAGAGAGACAGACAGAGCATGAGCAGGGGAGGGGCAGAGAGAGAGGGAGACACAGAATACGGAGCAGGCTCCAGACCCTGAGCTGTCAGCATAGAGCCCGATGCGGGGCTCGAATTCAGACTGTGAGATCATGACCTGAGCTGAAGTCAGTCGCTCAACTGACTGAGCCACCCAGGTGTCCCGATATGGTCAAATGATTTTTGACAAATGTGCCAAGAGCATTCAATGGGAAAAGACCAGTCTTTTCAACAAATGATGCTGAAAAAATTGGACATCCATTTACAAAAAGAATGAAGTTGTATCCTAACAGCATATATAAAAATTAACTAAAAATGAATCAAAGATTTAAATATAAGATGTAAAACTATAAAGCTCATAGAAGAAAACATGCAAAAAGCTTTATAACATTAAATTTGGCAATGATTTCTTGGATATGACATCAAAGGCACAGGCAATAAAAGAAAAAATAGACAAACTGACCATGAAATTTAGAATTTTTTGTGCATCAACACAGATGAAATGAAACCTATGGAATGGAAAAATATTTGCAATTATATAGCTGATAAGGGATTGATATAAGCAGAAAATATAAAGAGCTCCCAAAACTCAACAACATAACAACAACCTGATTTTAAAATACGCAACGG